AAGAATGACAGTTTGCCTAAAACAGATGGCTGTGACCAGAACTGACTTGGACCTGATATTCTAGATCTTTGCTTGTGTTCAAAGCATAAAGAACAGTTGATGGTACAGAATTGAATTTGGATGCTAAATATCTCAATGAAGTGCAATTATTTGTGAACTGTTGCTTTCTCAAAAAGAATTCAACTTTCTTTGATGAAAACAGCATTGTGATCAGCACTTCTTGACTGTCTTTCATCACTTGCTGTTTCCTCATACTTTTAATAATACAATAAACTTTTTATGTTACTTCTTTGATGAAGTAACAAGCTGTAGACAATTTGTCTCTGTTAGCTTTCTCCAAGTAGAACTTGATAATGTAATGTTTGAATGTACAGTTACTCTGCCATTTTGTGATGCTCAGAGTCTTTGTTGAATGCTTGGTAGTGTTTCCAAAATTGATCAACAGTTTAATCTTTTAGAAAAATCTTATCTTTTATTATGTGTAAGTTCATTTTTATTTAACAGTTTAAAAAAATCAGAAATGAAATAATTTATAATTGAATAACTATATTTTCCAAATTCTTGCTTCGGTTAAAAATATAAGTATGGCTGTTTATTTGATATAAAACTAGATTACATTAGGTGCAGCTAAATAAAACCCAATTGAACTCTATAACCTTTTAGAACCTTGCAACCAACTTCCACTGTGTGCTGTTACATCTTATATCAAAAACATTCATCAAACCAGAAAATCCAGCAGTATAATGTTGAATTAAGAAAAGTGAAAATTAATATTGGACTTCACGCCGAATATTGGATAAGTAAAGTTGAGAGAATTATCATCTAGGCATTAACAACCTACAGCTATCACTACAAACAACTAGCGCTTTCAACGACACCATTTTCGTCTTCAGGTTGAAAGAACAGTTAATAACCTTCAAATTCAAATTACAGCAAGGCAAACCAGCATTGGAATAAAATCAAAATAGAACAAAAACAGAGAATTTGAAAGACGCGCGCTCGATGCTGACGCGCATGAGCATTAGAATATTTTGCGAGAATGCGGAGCTAGCGACGTTGTTTTAATCTGTTGTATAAGTTGACCCACAATGAAGGCACATCCAGCATGGGGGTGTTGCATGGATTTAGCACACTGGTAAATAGCGGCTCCCATATATACAAGAGGTTCCTGCTATCACACTGTTTGAGTATCCCTGCTTGGTCCCACATCGGAATGTATTGGTGTTGCAACACCAATCTTGCCAACTCGGTATGTCGCACCTACCCGTACTAATAGATTGTTTGTGTTCAGAGATGCGGCAAGACAACATTCTGGATGTCGCTCCGATATACTGGGTATGAGTATCAGATGTTGTATTTTCCAATGGGATGGAATACACACCAGACCGCTCTAGCACAGAAAAAGGATCCCTGTCATTGCATACCATTCTTCTAAGATTTGGCCGCGGCGACACTGGCAGGAAAAGCGCATGCTGCCTAAAAATACAGCAAATTTGCTAGGTTACTGAGTGGGCTCCTTCCTCCATCGCCACTAGTTACGTCATCATCCATTGCGGCAAAGGCCACTATTTCTTCTGTATTGGATAATCTATCCCATAGCAATTACAACTTTTACAAGATGGATGTGGTTGCACTCTACCCCTCGGTACTGCAGTTTGAGGCAGTTATGCTCACCAATGCTATGTTTGTTAAGGAGGGTTTTATGGCGCAGCAAATCCTAGAAATACGAGAGGCCCTGATTTTTATCACGGAAAATAATTACTTTTGGTTCAACGGGAAAGTTTATTTACAGAAACAAGGGGTACCTATGGGCTCTCCGCTCTCTGCAATATTAGCGGAATTACTCATGAGGCGTGTGGAGCAAAGAGTGTTTACCTTCCCTCTCACCATAGCATACCCGCTATTATATCTTAGATACGTGGACGATATCTTAGTAGCATGGCAACACACGGAAGAGGAATTCCATATTCTCAAAAGTTATCTTATGGAGGTTTATTCTACCATCAAGTTTACTTGGGAAAAGGAAAAGGGAGGTGAAATTGCGTTTTTAGATCTAAACATCACCAAAGCCCAGGGTGCGATAGTCTTCTCCGTGTTCCATAAGTTCAACAGCATACCTCCTATAATCCCTGCCACCGCGTACCAGCCGCAACACTATGTCAACGCAGCTATCACCCCTCTAATTAGGAGGGCCTTTTTGTTGTCTTCCAATCAAGCTCTTGTCGACATCGAGCTTGAAGCTATAAGTGCAGCGGTAAGTGCGGCGGGTTACGCTAGATCTAAGTACAGGTACATCCTTAGAAAGGTTAAAGGTTCTCTATTTCCTGACACGACTTTGCAGGCTTCGGAAGAATGTACGATAATCCAGCCCCCATTACCTTTCTGTCGCCGTATTACGGGCCGAATTTGCCATATTTTTAGGCAGCATGCTCTTTTCCTGTCAGTGTCGCCGCGGCCAAATCTTAGAAGAATGTTATGCAATGACAGGGATCCTTTTTCTGTGCTAGAGTGTATTCCATCCCATTGGAAAATACAACATCTGGTACTCATACCCAGTATATCGGAGCGACATCCAGAATGTTGTCTTGCTGCATCTCTGAACACAAACAATCTATTAGTATGGGTAGGTGCGACACACCGAGTTGGCAAGATTGGTGTTGTAACACCAATACACTCCGATGTGGGACCAAGCAGGGATACTCAAACAGTGTGATAGCAGGAACCTCTTGTATATATGGGAGCCGCTATTTACTAGCATGCTAAATCCATGCAACACCCCCACGCTGGCTGTGCCTTCATTGTGGGTTAACTTATACAACAGATTAAAACAACGTCGCTAGCTCCGCATTCTCGCAAAATATTGTAATGTTCGTGCGCGTCGGCATCGAGTGCGTGTCTTTCAAATTCTCTGTTTTTGTTCTATTTTGATTTTATTCCAATGCTGGTTTGCCGTTGCTGTAATTTGAATTTGAAGGTTATTAACTGTTCTTTCAACCTGAAGAAGACGAAAATGGTGTCGTTGAAAGCGCTAATTGTTTGTAGTGATAGCTGTAGGTTGTTAAACGCCTAGATGATAATTTTCTCAACTTTACTTATGAATTAAGAAAAAGCTTACATCTTGTTTCAGGTTGAAAATGATGGTATCTCTGACAATGTGACTGAGAAATGCATTTCCTTATTTATAAACTGTCCCAAATGTGTCAAACACTCATATGGCAATTGTTTGTTTTTGAGTTATTAGGGTTCACTGTATGCAAACCTTATAGTAAAGCAGATAATCATGTAGTACTGTACTGGTAAGTCCATGGCTAATTTCACTTTTTCTGCAATTTCATCCTCAGTAATATGCCAGTTGGCATGTGAAAGCTGATCCATTTTTGCAACATTCTCATCTATATTGATTATTTTGGCTTGTCCTGATCACGGATTATCTTTAAAAGATGCTCTTCCATTATGAAAGTATGCACTCCAAGTCTTCACAATGGTTTCTGACAGTTTCTGCCACACAGTAACTACATGCTGATAAATAACCACTGCCAAAACACTTTTGCTGTTAAAAAATGAATTGCCTACTCTCTTCCTGTTTAGGCACTTTCATTACTTGATCACTATACTTACAACTGAGTTTTCTTCACCATGTCTTTGTGGAAAGAAATGCAACAGCATTGTAACACCCAATGTACAATGCTTTAGTCTGTTAGTGTTGCCATCTTTCAGAAATAAAGCAAGTACAAGGAGCAACCCCTGATTGAATTTCATTTGACAGCATCTTATAATACAAAATATTTAACAAATTCAGACAATACTGGCATCATTACAGTATAGATAGTATATATACCAAAGCTAATGGTTTTGGTATATATTCTGTACTTACATTTTTTATTAAAATTGCTTTTAATAAGAAGGTGATATAATAATCAGTTGGCCTGATTATTATACCTTCTTTTTATTAAGACAATAGTGATTGTAATGTGTTGGAACCCCCAGTATAATTAGTACTAATATGATGAAATTAACAATATAGAAAAAAATTTGTCTTGATGTATTATCTAATTTGTAACACACAATGTATTTTCTAAGAAATATCTGCTGATATAAATTTTATAATAATTTCTACTATATGGTCTATTATATGAGCTGTTGATTTTGAAAGTGGAGCAAGTCATTTTATGTTATTGCTAGATATTTAATGGTTTGCGTTTGAATAGGTTTAAAAATATTCGTACTTTACCGACACTGCAAGGCACAGTCCGGTAAAGTACAGAGTGACCTTTTGGCTTATAAATGGCAAGATTCCGAAATTAAGATAGAAACAGTCAGGTATAATGCCATGTTCTNTCGGTCAAATATTTAACTTAAGTAATTGTAAAAAAAATAAATATAATTTGTGAGCATTTTTTGTTAATTTTTTAATATGTATCAGAAAAATGACAATAAACTATATAAATCAAAAGAAAATAATGTGATTATAATGGAACCAAATGTTTTGTTTAACTCTTTAAGCTCTAAAAACTTTCTTCTACTTTTTCTTCTTAAATATTCTTTATTTCTTTCCCGATACTGCGAGGCACAGTCCTATTCTTAATATAATGTTTTACTATATCGCTCAGAAAATTGTTTTTCGCCCCCAAAATATAAATTGTTACTAATCGCCCCCTCAACCTGGAAAAATGCCCACATGTGGGCCACATGGGCAATGTGCGCCACATGGGTGATATCGCCCTCATGTGGGTATTTTGTTTTTCCATGTTCCCTAAACGGGGGCGATATTGCCCCCATTGAGAAACACTGGTTTAGATGGTGCAGATTTTTAAAGTATTCATGATGAATGGGTACTGGTACATAGGATAATATATCCATCATATATTTATATCTTTCTTTAGTAATAGGCATAGTTTTTGCATTTAAAGATGATAATACTATTTTTCTGAAACTACTTGGCCTACCCTGGTTTGGTGATAAATCATGAGTTTTAAATTGCGAATCTTTTTTTATCGATGTTTTATAAAACAGTTTATATGGTGCATTTCTTGAAAAACTTATCCAGAAAATATTCAACCAATTGACAGTTTCCCCATCAGTATTTTTTTGCTCTTTTCAAAATTGCCTCCTCCAGAGATTTGATTGAATAAGTCTTCACTTTTCAAACATAATGCATTTTTATTACGTGAAATTTTCATTTCATGTACTAAAACTGCATTACGTTTGTGACATTTTTGTAATAATCCTGGGGAATATACAGCATGTCATTATTTAGAGTGGACTTGTTTCACTTTCAAAATCAACTCGCAATAAATACCATTGACTATATAAACTACTAGTAATAAATTTATACTGATATTAAAAGATATTTATCGTGAATTGATTAAAAACAACAAATTTTATGTTAATTTGTAATAAGAATCAGCTTTAACTAAATGGACTTCTCCACTTTTAAAATAAACGGCTCATATTTACAATGAAAAATTTATTTTTCATTTATGTTTCAATTGTTCAAATATTACATAAATATAAGAAGTAATACCGTGTTTCCCCGAAAATAAGTAATCCTCTGAAAATAAGACCTAGCACAGGTTTTACTGAATTGCGAAATATAAGACTTCCCCCCCGAAAATAAGACCTAGCAAAGTTTTTTTTAGTGTAACGGTCATCGACAGATGGTTGAAAGTGGCCATTGGCTTTTTGAAAGTACAGCCACTGATTGGTCAGCAGACAATTACGCCACACGGCATGATTTGCATAAGACTATGGCGTGGGAATCACAGATTTTCATAACGTTACGGCTGATGATCGCTAATTGGTTGGCCAGGAATCATGCCACATCATATTTTCATAGTGCTATGGTTCAGTAAGCACTAATTGGTCATCAAGCCTGATGTTGATGCTATGAAAAGGTTAAGTTGAAACGAGAGTGGGAAGTCCACTCCAGCACAGGAACTTCGTAAGTTCAGTTTGGTTTTATTTAAGTTCAGTTTGAGACGACCGGATATACGTCATTTTCGTTTAAGTTAGACTTGGGAATTTTTTGTTCAACAATAAATGTGAATTCTTCATGGAAAAATAAGACATCCCCTGAAAATAAGACCTAGCGCATCTTTGAGAGCAAAAATTAATATAAGACACTGTCTTATTTTTGGGGAAACACGGTATTTATTAGGAATAATAATTCAGTTTTAACAATCATATTTATATTTAACTACATCAAAGGTAAAAATTAAAATATTATTATGAACAAATACAACTCATAATGTGTATAGTGAAAAGTAATTATTGGAAAAATGTTATATGAATTGTTTTGATATGAGTAATGTGATATTTTGACCTGGCCAAGGTAATTTTAATAAATACTTATTTTAGTAATTTAAATAGAAACTTGCCTGCATCTAATTTGAGATATTTTGAATTTATTCTGTTAATTTAAGGATATAAAAATATATTTTTTATCCTTAAATTAACCTTAAAAAGGTATTAGTTTTATTTTTTTTAGAATGCTGCCAATTATTGTTTAATGCTGTTTCTACATTTATATGGATTTGCAAGTTCTCTTACCAGTAAAACTTTTGTGCCAGTTAGGATGTGACTATGCAGATGTGAATTTAGTAGTGAGCAAGAGGTTGCGAATGATATAGTTCTCTCAAAGGAAAACATGCACAAGCGAGAAGCATCGCTGGCATGAGCAAATTTCTGGTTCTCTCATATCTGACAGGATTTGATATTTATCGCATCTCACCTCTTCTCACCACATATTCTCGCTCTCTCAGAAAATTTGCTTGCTTGTGTCTGCATAGTCGCACTCTTACTGTTTACATCAGTGATTGAAAGCTTTTTCTGAAGGTGGGTCAAAATTGAATTTGAAATTTAATAACTCTAAATAGCAGGTCAAATATTTAACTTAAGTAATTGTAAAAAAAATAAATATAATTTGTGAGCATTTTTTGTTAATTTTTTAATATGTATCAGAAAAATGACAATAAACTATATAAATCAAAAGAAAATAATGTGATTATAATGGAACCAAATGTTTTGTTTAACTCTTTAAGCTCTAAAAACTTTCTTCTACTTTTTCTTCTTAAATATTCTTTATTTCTTTCCCGATACTGCGAGGCACAGTCC